GACGAACGTCCTATCCACTGAGCCACAGGGTCGACGTCTTGCCGGTTGTCGACTTAATTTGTGTTCATCTGCTGAAGACAATCATCCCTGTCTGTTTTCAAGGGCGAGGTCGAATCCTGGACTAGTGATAGTACTTGCGGGTATACAAAATGATGTCGCGACGTTCCCAGTATGTGAAAAAACAAGGGGGAGGTAGATCTAAATCAGATTCAGATCTGGAAGTGTATGTGTTAACAAAACCTCCACCTTGCAGGTCGTCGGCAAACTTTAATAAAACCAGTTCCATGAATTCAGTTGAAATGTATAGCCTCTTCCGTCGGAAATCAGCAACTCATTCAGATGGACTCCTACTGACGAACACGTGAAATAACATTGGCCTAGTCCCCTTTTTATAGAAACCTTGAAAAGCTAAATTCAATCGGGGGTCTTCGAAGAGTGCGGCCTGTGTAAATGCTTCGTCTAGATTAAAATTTAACAGACAGTCAGGCAGGCGACCCGAAAAATGAATTGAGGCACATTCGGTGTCACCGTGCTGTGAACGCCTGAAGCTTAATGCTACCGCTTTAGGCAAAACGACACAGCGGCAGTCACTTCAATACCCAACTTTTCACGTTTCAACAAGCTTGTAAGGTGGTTTTTGGATGATCCATATTCTGATTTCACCTATGGACAGCAGCAGAGTGCTTAGCCGTGGATCATCATGAACGGAGAAAACCCCAGCCAGATATTACTGCCTATACTAATGACTATCAGTACTATTCTTTCCTAGCAAAGCGTACGACACCAGGAGAAACGTGGTAGAGAAGAGGGTCTCACGTTGTGTTGTCTTCGGTGGAGTAGCAGTAGCACTGGCCTCGGGCTGACCCGTAGGTTTCTTCTGCCCACCCTTCTTCTTTCTGGGTTTCTTAGTTGAGGCCGCAGCAGTCCGTCGTTTTTCAGCCGCGGCTTCTGCTGCTTTGGCTGCCTCACGCTGACGGGTTATCTCGGCGGCAGCCTCTTTGGTCAGTCCGGGGATAACGTACTTTGACCTCTCCTCGCGTATTTCAGCAGCCTTTGTACGATATCTAGAAGGTCGCAATGAGGGCAAGGTTAGAGAACATTAAATGCAAAAAAACGGAGGGAGCAAAAAATATATGATAGCCTAAAAGCCGAGACCTCCGAACTGGCCTGCGGAAGGGGGAACCAAACCGATATCGCAGCATTAAAAATGTGAAAGAGACGAATCCCATGCTGTAAAATTCCAAATTAATGTCTGAAGCAAATTGATAGCCAAACAATGTATGGCAGAAGACACAAGATGGTCTAGAATGGTTACGCTTAGTTAATTGGTTAAGATCGAAACGAACCAGTTGTGAGGTGGCGCAAGTAATATTTTCGGCCGGGCGACTGCCAGAATAACGAAAAGACCTCAACCTAAGTACAGTTCGAACAACGCGAACGTGTGTCTCGTAGAGTGAGAGTAGAACGCTGACGTTCGTGTGAAGTAATTTAAAGTGAGACAGACTTGCACTGTACCTAGGGCATCAGATCCTGATGACAAGACAGTGTCAAGAAATTCGGAGATGGGCCAGACAGTAGTGGCTGGTAAAGCTTGACAGTCCGTCTACGCGTTTTATCGTTACGGGGGTGCTTGCCGTAGCCTAGCGCCTCTTGAGGGGCACGTATATCTAGGAAGGACACAGTGAGTGGAAGTCTAGCACACAGTCGGTGCAACTTGGTCAGGCATGTAGTCTTTTCCTCTTCGAATGTGATTCTTGGTTGAAATTTGGGTGATCCGATGCCCTTTTAGGTACGGGACGGAGGCATTCGTAACGACCCAGTAGTTCAGTATATCAGAACTGACAACTTTTTATCATTCTCTCAGCGGC